CTTAAAAAAAAAAAAAAAAAAAAAAAAAAAATTGCACGACGCTTGAAACATTGCATAGTCGTCTTTGTTGTTCATTCACCCCAACTAGCATAGCAATACACAACACACATGTAACACATGTCTGCAAAATCATGTCGTCGTACTAAAAACACATGACACCGATTATGTCTCCTTTGTTTGTTTCCTGCCTCTTTCTACATGCCTCTCTCTCTCTCTCAATAGTTGACGATATCATATTCAACTCTAACGACCTATTGACATTATCTCGCCGTACACGAAGTCCAAGTACTGTACAAAACGTACAAAGTACTAATGTCACAGACGTCATAACGTCTCTCTCTCTCTCTCTCTCTCTCTCTCTCTCTCTCTCTCTCTCAATAGTCCACGATATGATAGTGAACTCTCACGACGTCTTCGCCACCACCTTGCTATATGCCAAATCAAAGTATTATACGGAAATGACAAAATACTAATGTCACAAACGTCCTAAGGCCTCTCTTCATCAATCACCTCGTCACTATCTGCAAAAATTTCGAAAAATCTATGATCATTCTTCATTTGAACAACCTCATCTTTTGCATTCTTTCTTCCAGCAAAATGTCATTCCCATATATTCCTTGAACTCTGCACTACGGTTTTATCACGATCGAGAGATATCACATTTATAGTCACTTTTTCGATACCGGTCTTGCAAGTTGACACGATGGCTTCTTCTATTCTTCGCATTTCCTTGCTCGCTGCTGCCGTGCGTGCGGGTCGACTTTTGTTGCTGATGTGACACTCTAACACCATATGAGCGAATGCTAGTTGTTGGAGAGTGCAACCATTTCGACATACTTCGTTCCAATCTCTGTATAAAACGTCTCACACGGCATTCTTAAACTCTGTTGCGCCCCACGACTCCTCGCCTTTCACTCTCCACGATGAATGTTCGAGCATTTTCGTCCTCATCTCCTCTCGCTCTTTTTCAAACCGATCTCTTACAGTTCCGCATGGATAAGGCAGCCTCGCGACACTCAAAAAAACCCTGACAATGTCGTAAGCGATCTCTCCTATGATGTTCGTCAGCTCTCTTGATCCAAGTGTGCGAAGTGTTATCAGTATTGTGCTCTTCATCGACCGATCTACGATGAATCGTGTGTCCGGGTCCAGAGATTCGGTGAGACCCCTAAAGGATTCGAGATACGTGTCGACTGACGGATACATCTCTGCATCCTTGGCTCGAGATAAACAAAAGGCCTTCGCTACATGACGCATCAATTGCTTCACTATTTTGGAGTGCGCGTATAACGTGTGGATGTTGTCACTAATGCGATTGTTGAGCTTGCTTTTCTCCGACGCATCCCGTTTCCCACGTCCTTGCATAACTGCACAGACAAAGAGGACGAGCACACAGAGACAGAAAAAAAAAACAAACGGGAAACACAATTATTATGCTGGTCACTTTTACATGTTCATTTAGCACATGCAAATCATAAGCGAGAATGCAAACAGGAGAATCGTTTTCAATGTTGTTGTCTTTTTCTTCCACATGTTTTTAATGTCACAAACAACTTTACAGGATTTCACACAATGTTTTACCTATTGCTATCTCGTTTGTGAAGTATGCGTCGTTCTCGTCATCCTCTTCACGACCGTCTTCATTACCATCATCCTCGTCTTCATTCGATTCACGTTCACCAAAATCGTCGTGGTCTCTGTTGTTCTCGTCCTCTGAATCGTCCTCTTCCGTATTTGCTTTTTTTTGCTCCAGCTGCTGGTCTTCGGACTCTGTCAATGATGGTTGTCGACCTTCTCGTTCTACATGCCACTGCCTGTGTTGAATGTCGCGATCTCCAATGTGTTTTCCTCCACTGCTCTCGCCCGCCTGCCGACCACGACGCATGCTGCCTTCGATATCCTCACCGCTTCCTCCTACTTCTGCACTGTCCACAACAGTCGCTTCACCTTTGTTGTGCTCCCGTTTCTTTTCGGTGACATACTTACTTGGAGCAAGAGGGGTTGCTCCGGCTAGCGTTTTTCTGCGTACCGTCTTCGACTTCGGAGTACACTTTGAAGAGTCTTCCCTGCGTCGGATGTCAATGTCGTTATCTCGCTTCTCTGTTTCTTCCATCTGCAATTTTCGTTTGCTCGCTTCGCGGCGCATTTCGATCAAATTTGTCCTCCAATGCTCCGTTCTTATTCGTACATTCTTCACTTCTTCAGATGTTCCATGTCGTGTTATATCCCGAACTTTGTTTCGTTCCTATACGAGACGTGCACCGACATTCGTCTTCTGTCGTGACACCCCTTCTTCGCGAACGCAGAGCCTTCGTTGCGTCGATGTTCCTGTAACATCAGGCCCTCGGCGAGGCCGTAATGTGTGCTTGTCCATTGGTGACAAGTACTTCGTCTATATCGCTCGCCGATTCTGTGAAGAGGAAGAATACACGTAACATAGGACATGGAAAATTTGTCATTAGTGAAATTTCATCTCAATAGCGGGGCTTTATCTCGACCCTGTTTTTCGTGAACAAAAGTACGTATTTTCACATTACATATGCAATGATAAATTTGTGGACATATGTTAAAAATTTTTCCTACCTTGTCTTATCTTTATCATTATTTGCGTACTTGTTCTATGTTTCAACTAACGAAATCTACGAGTCGTCACACGTTCATATCTTAGCTCACCTCTTCCAGTGCGTGCTTCATCATTTTGTCGCTGCCTTCCTTTTGCTTGATGCAAACTTCTTGAAAATAGCGTACTTGTCATTTGTTGTCTGTGTTCCGCATGCCGCGGGGTATGACTCCGCCAAAGCCTTGATCATTATGTGTCGTTGCTCACAAGACTTTCTTGACGATAAACGTTCGTAGGCCTTCCTCATTGTGTAATTCGTGAACTCGAAGTCCTCGTCGTTTGCGATGCACATAAGAATGCTCTCAACATTTTTCGTGGCGAATACACCGCAGTCGTTTGAGTTCCGTTGTTGCTGGCAATCAATCTCGTCGATGAAAGATACACCTTGCATCAATGTTTTCCATGTCGATTCTATGGTCGTGGTTGTAACTTCAACATCAGCTGAATACCGTAACGCCATGTGCTCGTAAAAGAAATAAGCTAACAAAGGTTCAAACGGAGGATTGCCCAATCGTTTCTTAGAGTTTAGGTGGAAAATGCGCAATCTCTTGTTTGGTCGAGATGTGGATGTTGTAGCATGCGTCCTATGTTGTTCAGCACGAGAATAGTAAAATGGTTATTCCATAGCAGAGGAACAATAACTACCTGATTTTCCCACAAACTCCTCATGCTTTTCGCCTTCGACTTTGAACTTCGTGTTACCGTCTCCAGATGAGGAGGGTTGCTCAAACTCGCGTCCTTGTGGAGCCCCTGTATTCCGTTGTACCATAGAGCGGGCAACAATTTAACGTGTGAGAGGTCAACAGCCTTACGTGTGAGTGAGTCATATACGTAATGGCAGTAAAAGTCAACGATATTTGTCGTCAACCACTTGCCCGTTTCCAGACATTGGAGATCTTGTACTCTTAATGTGAATGATTCATTGTTCAGGGGGTTCAATGTGAACGGAAAAAATTTGTGAACTATATCAACAGTTGCAGCCACTAACTTCTGGCTCATAGATTGTGTTTCCTCGCCCTCCTCTGTGTCTGCATCCAAATACACTACAACTCTGGTTCCTTCATCCTTCTCTTGCGGCCTCTCTGGGTTACTTCCCCCTGATGTCTTTCCTTCGTGTTCTGGCAATATCTCCATCTTCTCAACTGTTGTCTTGTCCTCCACAGCAATGTCAGCCGAGCCTCCCGGAAGATTCGAAGCGGGTTGTAGAGCAAGTCTTGCACAATGTGTCTCACCATGGTCGACTTCAATTCTCGTACGCAGTTCACATTCCACCATCAACGTCTGCTGTTCATTTGTTTTCACTCCATCGAGGTTCGTCTTTGCCTCATTTCGCTCTTCGGTTATCATATGACCTTCAAACTCTTGCGGCCTCTCTGGACTACTTCCCCCTGATGTCTTTCCTTTGTGTTCTGGCAATATCTCCATCTTCTCAACTGTTGTCTTGTCCTCCACAGCAATGTCAGCCGAGCCTCCCGAAAGATTCGAAGCCGGTTGTAGAGCAAGTCTTGCACAATCTGTCTCACCATGGTCGACTTCAATTCTCGTACGCAGTTCACATTCCACCATCAACGTCTGCTGTTCATTTGTTTTCACTCCATCGAGGTTCGTCTTTGCCTCATTTCGCTCTTCGGTTATCATATGACCTTCAAACTCTTGCGGCCTCTCTGGACTACTTCCCCCTGATGTCTTTCCTTTGTGTTCTGGCAATATCTCCATCTTCTCAACTGTTGTCTTGTCCTCCACAGCAATGTCAGCCGATCCTCCCGAAAGATTCGAAGCCGGTTGTAGAGCAAGTCTTGCACAATCTGTCTCACCATGGTCAACTTCAATTCTCGTACGCAGTTCACATTCCACCATCAACATCGGCTGTGCATTTGTTTCCACTCTATCGAGGTTCGTCTTTGCCTTATTTCGCTTTTCTGTTATCATATGCTGACTTGTTGTGCAAACTCTCACTACGCAGTCATCTTGTCAATTGCGGATGACTCTAACCTCGAAATGACCACTGCTTCATCATTCTGTGTTGCATCTTTTCTGACTGTGTGCATAAACTTCTCTGTCGTAGTGAGGTCTTCACGTGTTACAGACACGCTTTCGTCGTTTGTATTCTTTTGATTTATGTTCTTGCAGATGTGTGAGAATACAGACTTCATAGCATCTGCTCCTACATTGACTTCTTTAATAACTTCTTTCCCCGCCGCCCATCCCTCTCTCTCTTCCGTCCCTTTCACTTTCTCTCTCAATCTCTCCGATTGTTTGTCGTGTGGTGCTAATCTTTTTTCATGCCACATATCTCGCAATATTTCTTTCTCACTGTCACTTTCTGACATCCCTCGATTGTGTTTTCTTGGTGAATGGGAAATGGTAGCAATGGGCAACGGTATGAGATTCCAGGCAGTTACTGATAATGACAACATAGGTCTGTGGTACATCCTTTGTATTGTCTCGTCTGTCAATGTCTTCCTGAACTTCGGTACCATCTTCTTAGCTGCCGTGAAATTCCTGACGCGTTTCGATTTTTGAGTTCTCGACGTCGATGCTTTTTCTACACAGCCTTGAACTTTGTTTTTTGACATTCCTTGTTTTTTCAATACTTGACCGTGATTCGAGGTCGTGTGCTTGCGAGCCGTTCTGCCTCCTTTCCGTTTTCACATTCCCGATCGTGCAACTCCTTTATTTTCTCCCAGATTGTTCTCATTACTTTTGCATGTTTGCGGTTCACTTGCATCATCTCCTGTTTTCGGTTCACTGGTTACCTTTATCCTTCGACGCGGTGTCTTGTATAGAAATCTTTCTGTTCCCTCCTCATTTCTTTCGCTATTTGTACCTAGTTCAGGCAACGACGCCATTATCGTACAATAGTTACACCCACAGAATATGATGCATTTTATAATAAAAACGTATAAGCCAGCACAAGAAGACTTGGAGACAATCTTATATAATTGTTGTGAACCGGTTGACGAAAAAAAACCTTCTATCGTTGCTCGGTCTACATCATGACAAAACATCGTTAGCTTGAAGTATGGTACAAGATGTTCTGGTTGAATTACTGTGTCTATATCAATGATGCTACTCATTTGCACGTCTCTGTTCCTCTCCCATTCCACCAATTTACATGACGTTCGATTTGTGAACTTCCTCGTGCAGTCTTTGTACCATTGAACAAATGCACATTCCGTCTTGAATATTTGTCCTCCTTTTGTGATTTGAAGCACAAAAAATTTAGCCAAAGAAGTGTACCAAATGTCGTTATCAAGACCCCTTACACTCACATCACTCCGTACCTCACGACCATGAAACGAGTTTGTCGCTCTAGCGATTTGTGCATCTTCTCCTTGAATAAAGCCATCGTGTGTGCAAACAAGTGCGATATATGGTCGGGGACGTATGACAGTGTGGTCGTGAACTTCACCGAGATTTTGCTCCGTCACGTATGAACGCACATATTGTTGAAATTGAAGTCGTTGTGGAAGGGTTAGCAGTAAGCGAGCAGCTTCTGGTGACGTTGGCCTTATGAGGTAAAGAATATCGTCATCGCTCAGAGCAAACCACCCCAATCTCAATGCGACCATATCGGTTGTGACAATTACATTACGACCTGTTCTCTCTGCCTCCAAGACCGCTGACCAATTTTCTTCCTCTTTGTTTCTCTTCCTTCTCACAACGGATACGTGTTCTTCTAAAATATTTACTCGTACAACGTGGTCCACCATTTGCTTTAAAGGATCTCTTCGATTTGATGCTTTATAAGGATCTTTGCAAAAGCGAATGTGATTGTGTTCCCAAATGTCTGCTGCAAAAGTGTTCGGGAGCCCTGATCGTTCTACAGCCATTCTGAATTTATTCAAATCATGCATTTTTACTATTTTCCAATTTGACTTCTGCAAGTGTCTGAAACGCATATTTGTATAAGTCATAAAGTCTTCGAGCAGAGCGTCACATCTATCTAAGGAATGCTTCGTGTGTTTAACAACGCGAAACATGCTTATGTAGTATTCGAGAAACATGTCACACCACTTCACAAAGTCATGTCTCTCTGCATTGTCCAAGAAGTTGTGCACAATGAACAACAAGACAGTCATAACGACACGATTTTGCTTAGCTTCAAACCGTCTCTCGCGTGTAAAATATTCTACCCCCGTTGTTACCGGTAATATAAGCTTTTGAAACGTGACATTCCCTCAATTGCTTACGCACTTTAAACGAGCATCCAACTCTCCAAGCATTCCAACGGTGTTCTGAAATGATTTGCATATATTCTTTAAGGCTTCAACAATGTATTAAAAAATATCGTGATCTACTGTGTGCATTCGGTCTGGTTGCAGTACGTAATGGTAATCTAACATCAGAATGTCACCGCAACGACCTTGATAAAAACCCCACAAACTATTTACTGCATCGTCACTATGCATCCCCCAGTCCAGCGCTCTCTTCATCGCTGCTACACGAGCGTCAGCATCAGAACCATCATGTACTCCCTGCAATATATCGCGATCCACGTTTTCAGTCCGTACAATTGTGCTGCAGTCCATATGTTCGTGTAAGTTCTCGCTCGGTACGATGCAATTTGGACATCTGTCTTTCTTTACAAGTGCCAAAAGACATCTCTCTGGATGATCTTGCACATAGTTCAACAGCAATGGATGTACTGTAACTTCCCTATATCGCGGGAGGTTAAGTTCCATACCGTCATGAGAGACCTTTTTTGCATCCTTCAATACAATAGTCAGACTCTCATGGAACACACACCTTTTGCGGCGAACAAATGCAGATGAACTATGGGTCCAACCTCATATGTACGACAAAGTCTGAAGAATTGGCAAGTATGCGAGCAAAGTTGCTCGTTCTGGCTTATCAGCGAGTGACAACATCAGAGGATACATGCTTGTTTTCATGCGACCATCTACATTCGTTTTGTCGGAATACAAAATAAATGGCAGAACATATCTTACGCGTCCATTTCGATCTAATCCTTTGTCATTTCGAACTATGTCTTGTGCTTGTCTCCAAAACTGTGCTGATTTCGCATTCGTGAACACCATGTTTTCTTCATGACATATTGAGTCTGCCTCTAGCGTATAGTTAGTGTCGTTCAACAGTGCGTCTCGAATCACAGTCTCAAATGCTACATCTCATTTTCTCACCCAAAGTCCAGCCTTTGCTTCTGCCGGCAATCATCTGTCCTCATATCAATGTGCTTCCAAGATTTGTCTACATGCTTCCCGCGTAACCAACCCTTTAACGTGCGAGAATTTCTATATGGTAGTCGGCTAGCATCGAAAGAAGGGTGACATATAACGGAGAGCAAAGCATTCACATCTGCATCTGACAATCTCAACCCTCCTCTCGCAGAACATATCACTGCAGCGAGTCGATAATCCGATAGATATTCATTTTTGTCTATGTTGTTTGCATCTTCCGCAATATCATCAATAATTGGTTCGACATTCTCGTGCATGTCCATATTCACGGCATTATCATTTTGCTCGTCCTCTGAACTCATGTCATTGGCATCACCAGTAATTTCAGTACGTTGTATCTCAGCTAAGCACCTCCTCGATCTGTGCGACTCCATTAAGTTTGTACGATTGAATATGCGGCCGCAATCGTAGCATGGGACAACATTCCGGCTGTGCCTCGACATTTGCGTATCATACGTTCAAGAATACGCCACGGTTATCTTCCTGTAATACAACTGCATCATTGATGCAACAAACATGAAATTGCCCGTCACATATTAATTGTTTACTTTATTCATAAACAACGATCATTTATTATTCACAACTAAGACAAGAGGACGCATTCACAATATTTTTTAAGCAATTCATTCATAAAAAATGTTTTTGGATTTGCATGAAAATACTTCTATTTCCAAATTGAAAAACCATAAACAAGTCGTTCATAGATTGGATTACATATGAAACACAATCCTGCTTAAAAATTAAAAACTTTCCACCGGAGAATGGTCGCGTCAATCCTCCTCGCAAGCACTACTTGTCTTTCTCTTACCCTTCACAGGTACGCCGCTCTCTTTTTCCTGGCTCGCCAAACCTTCCCTCGCCACAGGATTCGTAATCTGCATCCACGACACGATGTCATCACTCTCCGTTCTCTCTTTCTGACCATGACAAAGATCTATCCCTACTTTTGTAAAAAAATCTGCCATGCCGTCGAAACTCTCTAATGCGGCTATCGCCAATTCTCTACTGACTTACACTTGCCAATTTTTTCCACCTTTCGAAATATCTTTGCGTTTTGGATGCAAATAAGAAAGTCTCGACAAAAAATCATACTGTAAGTGTCTGTCTGTTGTAATGTTCGTACAACAAATCAAAATTGTTTAAGGACATTCTTCAAATGTCAACACGAGCCGGAGAACATCGAGACACCATCCTTTTTGCGGATCACATGAACCGTCTGCGTGATTGTCCCAAAATTTTCGCAGGCTGTCGTTATCGTCATCGTCATCTATTTCATCATCAAAACTCTCTCCCTCATCCTCACTTTCACCAAATCTCATTGCCTTTGGACCTTGATATTTGTAATCCAAAGCAAAATTCATACATGTTAGAGGGGTTGTCCTTCCGCTGTTTACCACGACCGTGTTGCCTGCTCCTTCGTTGGATGTCAACTTCAATGTTTCATCCCTTGTGCTGCATTCTGCAGCCATTACATCCCAATATTCTCTTACAATTTGTGGTACTTCATCCGATCCAGTGTTTGCAAGAGTCTCCAAGGACTTCACAATAGCCTTGTCCGCTAGAGACTGTGGCTCTGAAGATTCAATCGCATTGTAATCCAATAACTCTTCGGCTCCTTCTAATATCTCAACAATACTAGCCAAATAACTAAAAGACATGTGGGCACGACTGGATGATGGACACAAATTTGTCCGCTGCGACAGCATCACGTACTCGCCACCATTTGCAATCACACGTGGCAACTCGCACACAGATTGCACGTCCTCTTTCTCAACAACACTTCGCAAGTGTAGATGAGCAAGCAACTTTTCTAATCCGGGTCTCAGAACGGCACGGCGACGAGGTATAAAATATCCATGAGCTAACGCTTTCCTTTTCATATCCCCATTCCAAGTGCGTTTATCATACACTCCCGACGTCCGTGATTTCGACTTGTCTATTTCGACCTACTCGTACAACCAATCGACCGGGTCATCAAACTTGTAACATATAATGTTCTCCTCCAAGTCTGTTCGAACAATCTCAGTTTTCAAATTCTCATTGCTTAGTTTCTCCAAAAAAACAAGCGCATGAGAAATGTCATGAGCATGCTGTGCCAATGTCATGTCGCGATCAATGCGCACATTGAAATATGATGGTATGCAATTTCGCAATTCGTCGAACTCTGTTTCAGTTGTGTAGTAAATGCCTTCCTTTGCATACTTGAGGACCATCTCCATTGCACGTGTGCATTGTTCATGACTCATCTTCATCTGTCATTCATGCATGTCGTCATAACGATTGTGCAAAAAAATTGTAAGAAAACATATTGAACAATATATAATGGCATGAGTATTTTTTTTTTAATACAATCCACAGACCAATGTCATCCTCTCCACACTTTGTGCTCGCCATTTGAGAAGGGAGCATGACCGCCTTTTCGACGTTCGTTCCTTCGCCATTGACGCACATGCAGAGAGAGAGAGAGAGAGAGAGAGGGAGAGAGAGAGAGAGAGAGAGAGAGAGAGAGAGAGAGAGAGAGAGAGAGAGAGAGAGAGAGAGAGA